TTGCTACCATGTGATATTAATAATATTATTCAATAATTTCCACATTCTATTTAATCACCTTTCTTCAAGTATGGATCTTTTCCATTTGGCTGGGCAGGCAGCTGTCTTCCAAATTTCTGGACATATATGAGAAAGTACTTACAGCATTGCATTCACTTGTTGAAGCATTTCAACTGGTATTCTGTCTATTCCTGGAGCCTTGTTTTTCACTTAATTGTACTCATACAGGATCTGTACAGGGATCAAGAGGCAGTTGGTTCAAACAAAACAAGGGAATACTCTGTGGTTCAAAATTGGAGAAGGTGTGTGTCAGGGTTGTATTCTTTCACCTTAATTACTCAATCTGTAAGCTAAACAAATAATCTGAGAAGCGGACTACATGAAGAAGAATGCAGCATCAAGACTGGAAGAAGACTAACAACCTGTGATATGCAGATGACACAACCTTGCTTGCAGAAAATGAAGACTACTTGAAGCACTTACTGATGAAAGTCAAAGACTACAGCCTTCGGTATGGATTACGCCTGAACATGAAGAGAACCAAAGTCCTCACAACTGGACCAATAAACAACATCAAGATAAATGGTAAAGAAATTAAAATTGTCAGTCAACATCCACAGAAGCAACAGTCACGAAATAAACAGTGTATTGCATTGGGCAAGTCTGCTGCAAAAGACCTTTTCTTAATGTTTTAGAACACAAAGATATCATTTTGATGACTAAGGTGCATCTGATCCAAGCCATGGTCTTTCAATTGCCTCATATGCTTGTGAAAGCTGGATAATGAAAAATGAAGACAGAAGAATTGAGGTGTTTGGATTGTTTGCTGGCAAAGAATACTGGCTATACTATGGACTGCCAGAAGAATGAACAAATCAGTCTTAGAAGCGAGGATGGAGAGACTTCGACATGCTTACTTTGGGCACGACATTATGTTCGGTAAAGTAGAGGGTCAGTGAAAATAAGGGAAACCCTCCATGAGGTGGATTGACACAATAGCTGCAACAATAGACTCAAACATCCCAATGATCATGAAGATGGCACAGGATCAGGTAATGTTTTGTTCTGCTATACATAAGGTCGCCATGACTCCGAGCTGACTCTGGTAACTAACAACATCTTCTCTATTTTTTCTTCATTGCTCACAGGTTCTTTCTTACTTTCTCTCCTCTTGGTGAAATATTACCAGCTACTCACATTTCCTTAGATGTATTGGTTCAGCGGTCTTTTATAGGGGCCCTGGAAGAAAAGAAAAATCAGGTACCAGTTGCAAAGAGTGGGGCTTGTCTCCTTTTGACGTGTGGAAGCAAAGCAGGGATTTGACAGGCTCCTAAAGGAGTGCAGGCAAGGAAGTCCACCAGCCCATTTGCCTGACGTCCCAGCTGGTTCTGTCTCATGGAACCCACCACAACTCGGTTTTCTTGGTAGGCTAAAGCTCACTTGGTCCCAGAGATCGGGAAAGCTCTGCTTGGCCCTCTCTGTGCCTCAACAAAGAGGAATCAGATTGCCACTTTGTTCACCTTCAGCCCACAAGAGTTCAATTTCTGGTATGCCACAATTTAGGGGGCCCTAAAGACTTGTCTTAACTGCTGAGGAAAAACCAATCCATGAAGTCACAAGGAAAACCAATCCATTAAGGAAACCCAGAAAGGAGAAGGAGAAAGCCCAAAGGTGATATTTAGAAAAACTGACAACTGATGAAGTACAAATAAAAGAAGGTCAGAAGAGAACTTTAACAACAAAAGCAATGACTGCTCTCAAGAGGATCAGCTCAGCATACAATAAGACTACCCACAGCAGAGCGTGTGGTTTTATTAACTGGATATAAAGATTGTAAAGTTCACAGATGTCACAGACTAGCCAAGATAACCAAGAAAAAGAGTGGTGGCTACCTTACTAAATATTGCATTTGCTGTACAACCATTATAATAGAAATTGTGCAATACTGGCCCAGGAATAAACAGATTATTGGAACACAGAGAGTCCAGGAATAAATCTGAGAATTTAAAAATAGTAGGATTTCACTTCAGGGAGAGGTGGTTTATTTAATAAATGGTACTGTATGGCATAATTGGCTATCCATCTGAAAGGAAACAAAAATAGAGCTCTACCTCACATCATGTACAAAATAAATTTCAAGCGTTAAAATGCATAAAATGGGAGAGGGGGAAGTACTACAAGAAAATTAAAGGAGAAAACGTTTGTAACCTTGGGGTGGAGGATGTCTCCTTCCTAATGAACCAAATGGGCCACCTAGGACCTTTACTTACGTAAAGAAGATACATACAAGGAATCTATTAAGTCGTTAACAGAAAATGTCAACATAAAGTCAAAAGACAAATGGCAGACTGGGAAAAACATCTGCAACACAACAGAAAGAAAAAAGTTTAATATGCCTAATATACAGAGTATGTTCACAAATAGATATTTTAAAAAATAGAAATATGGGGTCAATTACACAAACAGGCAATTCACCAAACTGGAACTGCAAATATCTAATAAATACAGAAGAGATACCACCATTAATATTCATGGCAATTAAAATTAAAATTACACAGAGATAGCTTTATTCCCCAGCAGTCTGGCAAAAAATGGGAAACTTCCACAACACACGTGACAGGTGAACATGAGGGACAATGTGCGCTTTCACAGACTGCTGCTGGGGTGTGACCTGCAGCTTCCTTCTCAGAAAAGTAAACTGCCCGTACCGATTAAAGGAAAAGATACAGTCTTTGACCAAAAACATAGGCTTTTGGGAATCCAGCCTACAGAAAAAAATTCCTTGTGTATGCAGATACACATATAAACATCTTTATTATATCATTTCTGGTGATGGCAAACAAACAAAAATCCCACGCCAACGTGAATGTCCTTCAACAGGAAAACAGTTAAATAAATCATGGAGTATGTATATTCCTATTATGGGATATATTATCACCTTATTAACAGACTCTAGCTTCCTTATGCTTATAACTTTTGTGGCCACTTGGCATGTAAGAAAGTACACTGTTCACAATAAAGTCTTAATAAATATTGGTTAGGAAGGTGGTTGTCACCTTCTTTGGAAATAGAAGGGTTGCTAGGCAGAGGGGATGTTTCTCTTGATATATTTTTGTATTTTTTACTAATTTATGGTAAACATGTACAGCTTTTATAATCTCTGAAGGACTACATATATACATATACATACATATATACATTCATACATACATACATATATACATTCATACATACATATATACGTTCATACATACATACATACATTCATACATACATACATTCATACATACATACATTCATACATACATACATTCATACATACATTCATACATACATTCATACATACATACATTCATACATACATACATACATTCATACATACATATATACATTCGTAAAGACATACATACATATATATAGGGAGAGAGAGCGGACAACAGCAAAGGTATAAAGCTCTGCAGGAATGTATAAAGCTATTAACTGCTTATTCTGATGTAGGGGAATATTCAAATTCAGCATCCTCTCTTAACATCATCTTGTCTTTTTAAAAAGAAATTTTAAAAAATTTCTTAACTGAAGAATATAGGTTCATGGTCGATGGGTAGGGAATACACAAAGTGAACTAAGTTACAGGAGAGAAGAGCTATACTTCACAGCACCAGATAGATATTTGCCATTTACACAGGAGTTCAAAGGACCAACCAGCTTTACTCACGCTGAACCTTGGGTCTGAAGTATTGGTCTTACTTTGCTTGGTTCCATAGTACTGTAGGTTGAGAGATAATGCATTCTTTAAAAATCTTCCAATGTTTCTAATTCAAGAGAGAAATTCTATCTGACTCTGCATGTCACCTGAATGTTAAGGTCAAAGCCACCTGGACAGGGTGGCTGTAAAAGACCAAGCCAATGGGCACACGGCCAGGACGAAGAGAGCCACGAAGAACAGACTCCATATGCAAAGTACTTAAACCAGCTGCGATTTAGTCAACTCAGTCTCAGAGAGACCCCATGTGTGTCAGAGTAGAACTGTGCTCCATAGGGTTATCAATGGCTGACTTTTTTCCGAAGTAGATCACCAGGCCTTTCTTCTGAGGTGTCTCTGGTTGTAGCAGAACCACTAATCTTTTGGTTAGCAGCTGAGCATGTTAACCATTCATAACACCCAGGAACTCCCCTCTAACCTTGTATGTAATTAAGACAACAAGTACCCAAAACAGTTACATAAACATGGTATTTTTGTTTCTCGGATCTACATACAGTTGGTTTCTCAGGAAACCCGAGCTGTCATAGGAATGTACCTAAGAGTGCAGATATACAGAGTATCATGAATGGTGTACTGCTAAGTAAGTCCTACAAAATGTTTGTGGGGAGAGGAGATAGGAAGCATCTGAACGAGTATGACAAAGGGTATCATTCCATGAATGCAACATCCCAGTTCTTAGAATGATGTACTCCTGTCTTAAAAAATGGGTAGTTTCCTTTTCTATAATGAGTATCTCCTTGGCTAGCATTTCAACTTCAAAGAACAGTGTCTTCCAGGAGGCGAAGGATTGATAAGGTGACTCAGGAAATATTGAAAGGTAAACAAGAACATGAACAATTTAATATCAACAGTGAGTGAAGCCTCTCCTATTTGTCTCAATTGGCAGCCATCCTGGGTGGTCTCGAATTTACTACTGGCAACTCAGATGACTTACAAAAGCATCGTGCAGAATCAAGGGTCATTTCCTCTTCACCTACTATGTAGGAACACCAATGACAAACACCAATGACAAACACCAATGACAAACACCAATGACAAACCAACTCGTCTAGGTCACCATCAAAATTCAACTCTTTGGGATCATGCTGGGCCTTTGGAGACACCAGCAGACCAGCATGGGGGCATCGGGCTGAACAAGAGGCTCAGTAACAGGGTTTTACAGAACTCCAGTGAACAAAATGGGAATCCCTTAGGGATCCCTGGTCTGTCCTAGCAGAGGAGCAAAGAAAGCGGGTACCCTGCAAATCTCCACTCTGTTGGCAGCCTCCTCCATTTCTTCCCTGAGGGCATCAGCTTTGGCACCCGCAGGCTGTAAACTGCTGGACAGACCTGAAGACCTGGAAGTCTGCTGCCACCTGACAGAAAACAGGAGAGAAAAAGGAGAGATGTGAGATAGGTAGAGCCTTCGGGATATTGTGGGATAATGAAGAAAACAGCTGGTTACAAATACTACCCAGAAACTACGCATCCTGGCTTAAAAGGAGAGGTAATAGAAAAGTCCCAAGTACTGCGGGTGCTGTTGTTTGCTGCCATCAAACTGGCTCCCAACTCACGGCGACCCTGCGCCCAAGGACGTAATGCTGCCAGTCCTGTTCCATCCCCATGATCAGCTGTGGACTGGACCACTGTGATTCAAAGGGTTTTCCCTGGCTGATTTGTGAAGCAGATCACCAGGCCTTTCTTCCTGGTCTTAGTCTGGAAGCTCCACTGAAAGCTGTTAAGCCTCACAGCAACACACAAGCCTCCAATGACGGGTGGTGGCTGCACATGGGGTACACTGGCTGGGAATCAAATCCAGGTCTCCACACGAAGGTGAGAATTCTACTACTAGACCAGGAGAAAGGGAGACATGCAGCAACTGCTGACTGGAGCTGAGGCTCTGCAGACCCTTCAGACAGGATATGCATTCTCCAGTTTGCTGCCATATTTTCCTACTGTCTTCCCCAAACTAAGGCCAAATGACAATCTCCATCACTTTCTTCTAAGCACAGCCTATGTCATTCATTTGGAGTCCCTGGGTGGCATAAACTGTTAGTGTGCTTGGCTGCTAACCAAAAAGTTGAAGGTTCAAGTCCGCCCAGAGGTACCTTGGAAAAAAGGCCTGGTGATCTACTTCTGAAAAAAGCAGCCACTGAAAAACTTACGGAGCACAGTTCTACTCTGATACTCGTGGGATTCCCATAAGTCAGAGTCTACTCAACAGCAAGTGATTTGGTTTGGGGCTTATGCCATTTAGGTACGATCCCTGACTATCCTGTGGGCATTTGAGTTTGGATACATTCACTTACTTGGCTGAAGCAAACGATATATGCCAAGTGCAAAGACAAGCAGATAAGATTAAAAACAAAACTGAAAGTAAAAATCTACAGTGGTAAGCACAAAACAACTTACTAATATCAACATTTGGATATCTCATTGATATTTTCTTAAACATTTATTTTTGTGAGGAGGAGCATACTGGCTTCCCAAGGAAGCCACACTGGGAACTTTCATGGGGAGTATAAACATTTCTGGCTGCTATGTCATTATCAGGAAATTACCAAAAGGAGGCCCTGAAAGAAGGCTCCAATTACACAAGATTCCAGCCCAGGCAGTCAACACGGGATGAAAGGATCCACGGTGGGGGTCTTCCCTTAACTTTATAAACTTAAAGGCTTACAGGGGTCAGCGGCAAGAAAAATTAGTCAAATGAGCCATTATCTTAAAATAAGTCCACCTGATTATTTATTTTCTACTTTCGATAGAGACATAAGACACAAAACTATTTTCTCAACTCCAAGAAAAACAGCAGCGTAGTTGTGATAACCAACAGCAGCCGGACCTGGCTTCAGTCTTAGGAAGTCAGCAGGGAGGGAGGGCTGGGGGTGCTGAAGGGTGGGTGCTACCCTGTCCAAGGGGGAGCTGCTCTCAGCTCCAGCTGATGATGCCCAGGCAGGAGTGTGGCTGTGAGTTACCAGATATTTCAACTGACAGAAGAAACTTGAACTCCCCTGATGAAACGGGGCAACCAATTAAACACACATCTTTGAAGACACCATGCAGGCCAACCCTGCATGGACCAAACCAGCGACTGCTGCCTTGGGCGGGGACCATCAGCCTGCAACCTCCAGCGCAGAGGTGCAGGGTGCGTCGCCCTCCTGAGTCGGGAATCTAATCACTGTGTTTTCTCCACTCCATTTTTCTTTTCTGTTCTGCGAGGTGCGGGAAAACAAGCAAAGTGCAGGGCTCCATAATACAAAAAAGAGAAAGTAAAGGGCTCTTTGTCATTAGCAAAAAGTAGTGAAATAAATGACTATCACTTAAAAAATGCACCCATGGGAAAATTACTTAAAGAGGCTTTGGGACATCAGGATGCTTCACACTTCACAGACGGACATGCGTCCTGATTCCAGGCTAAGAATTCAGGGGAAATTAAAGACACGTTCTACTCAATGACATTTCAAAATCTAGGTTGAAATAAGTTCACAGATAAGGACTAGTAAGGATAATTCTTTCTTATAAAGGTCCGCCTTGCATAAATATTTAATTAATACCGCCCATGTTTAACTATTATAAATCAAGAATTAAAGTTATTTTTTTCTTTATATGAATAAAATATGAGATGCCACGGCTGTGACTTAGATCCCAGACAATACATAAGCCTTCAGAGTGGACTGAGATCGAGGTCCAGCCACCACCTGGCCGTGCTACCTGCAAGAAAACAACCAGTCACTGATGGAAGTATACAGAAAATGCACTGACCACATACACAAAGCTGATCTCTACTGGTGTGTACATCTGGATTAGATTTACAAAACAAAAACAAACAAAAAATCCCAACGGATTCATACTAAAAAAAAATATTTTTTAGTATAAAAAAAAAATTTTCCCAAGTTATCTCATCCTCTTCCCTTAGTCTCACCTCTTTTTTTCTCATTCTTTAGTCAATATGCTGGTACTTTAAAAACCTACAACTTTTCTCTCCCATTAGAGGGAATTTTATTTGAAATATATAAGTAATTCATTTTGATATTATAAAAATAGTAATAATAAGATTCCAAGAAATGGCCCCTTTATGGAAACTGAATAACAAAATATCAAGGGAAACCTGGAAGAATATGTATAGGTAGTTATTTGTTGGGAAAAGTGACATTAATTACGAATTTCAAGGTATGGTGGTCATCTCAGCCATTATTCCACATATAAACTCAAAGGTTGGACTGATCTGCTGGAGAAGAAACAGGGATCTGGACATAGTCCAAGGAGTGTTTGAGCTTTGCGATTTGACGAGGCAGAAAGATTATTTCCTCCCACTCAGAGAAACTGACGTGACAACATCATTCTCAGACGTCTATGACTATCTGACCTGGGCGAGATAAAGGCAGGACATAAGCCTCAATGAAGGGTAGATGAGAGAAAAGGACCAGAAATGAAGGTAGGGAATTTCAGCTACCTGGGGAAGGATAAAGAAGACAAATGCAACGTCAGTTCAGGGTACCATGAAGTCTAGAAGAAATAGGAAAGTTTCTTTAGTGGGACATTTATTGTTCCATTTGCCCAGTCTTCTCATTTCCTCTGTCATCGGAATTCCTCTCTCTTATGGACTGAACTGTGTCTGTCCAAAATATATGTTGGAATCCTAAGCCCTATACCTGTGGATGTAGTATAATGCAATGTGATTACCTTACATCTAAAGTAATGCAATACAGTCACCTTCCATAATGCAATATAATCAATCAGTTGAGATCATCCCAGTTAGAGTGGATTCTAAACCTAATCATTTCTGCACTATAGAAAAGGGCAGAATGGACACAGAGACACAAGCAACACTAGGGAAGACAGATGGCCACGTGAGGACTGTCTATAAGCCAAGGAACCACAGAAGGTCTAGGACTACATACAAGGAAGGAATCAACACAGCCAAGGCCCTGATTTGGACTTCTAGTCTCCAGAACTGTGAGAAAATGAATTTCTGTTCTTCAAAGCCACCAACTTGTGGTGTTTCTGTGACAGCAACAATAGGAAACTCTTCTGGAGTTTCTGCTGTAATATGTGGTCCAAATGGGAGCTGCCATTTTTTGCCTGATCCTCCCAATGACTGGCTCAGGAGCGGGCCCCTGATGTAAGTCCTGTCAGGGTGCAAACCTCATCACCTCAGCCAACTGGCAGGTCAAGAAAGTGGGAATATACGCGAGGTCTGGACCAGTGGAGGCCCCTCCTTTTCACTGAGAAAGAGGAAGAGGGCTCATGCTGGGGAGACACAAGCCGCAAGGAGTTTCCAGTGACCATGAAGAAAACAGATTTAGGAAAAAGATGTCTGTAGGTGGACAGAAGTAGAGGTGGGGGTACAGAATGACTCTTGACGGTAAACAAGACTTGGCTGCCAGTCCCAGAGGTACTCAAACCTGCCATGGCTCCAGAATCTCACTTAGTTATTCACTTCTCCTCTAATTCCATGAGCTGCCCAATAGTCTTCCAAACACTCCCTTGTTTTACTGACATTAGTTCACATGCTTCCAAAGAAGGTAGGGTAGGGCTCAGAGGTAGCAGTTCAGCAGAGGCGTATGGTGCCCTGGACCCAAAAGGGTTGACCTTGAGATGCATGTCCAATAAAAAGAAAGGCTGACTTTGAGAAGTAATGGGGCTCCTTCTTTAACTACCACTGTGATAGTTAATTTTGTGTCAACTTGACTAGGCTATGGTTCCCAGTGGTTTGGCCGAACACTAGCCTAGGTGATGTGATGTGATGTGATCAGATGTTATATAATGTAATCACCTTCCATAACATTTCATAATGTAATGTAATATCAACCAATCGGTTGAAAAAGGTGTTTCCTTAGGTATTCATCATCCAGAGTATAAATAGTCATTTTGACAGAATTCTCTCTCTCTCCACTCAGCGTTCTTTCTGCCTGACCTACAGATCTTGGGATGCAAGTCTGCGGTAGTACCCAGACTGGTGCCTGGCCTAAAAATTCTGGACTTGCAAGCCCTGCCCCCCACGACTGCGTGAGCATATTCCTTCAAGTAAATGAATCAATCATCTCTCTCTCTCTCTCTACATATATATATATGTATCTGCTTGCTGAAAGTAAAGAGGACTTAAAGCACTTACTGATGAAGATCATAGACTACAGCGTTCAGTATGGATACCTTAACATAAAGAAAACAAAAATCCTCACAACTGGCCCAATAAGCAACACATCATGATAAACAGAGAAAAAACTGAAGTTGTCAAGGATTTCATTTTACTTGGATTCAGAATCAACACCCATGGAAGCAGGAGTCAAGAAATCAAAAGATGCACTGCATTGGGCAAATGTGCTGCAAAAGACCTCTTTAAAGTGTTAAAAGGCAAAGATGTCACCTTAAGGACTAAGGTGCACCTGACCCAAGCCATGGTGTTTTCAATCGCCTCATATGTATGTGAAAGCTGGACAATGAATAAGGAAGACTGCGAAGAATTGATGCCTTTGAATTATGGTGTTGGCAGAGAATAATGAATATACCATGGACTGCCAGAAGAATGAACAAATCTGTCTTAGAAGAAGTACAGCCAGAATGCTCCTAAGAAGCAATGACGAGACTTCGTCTCACACACTTTGGACATGTTATCAGAAGGGATCAGTCCTCGGAGAAGGCTATCATGCTTGGTAAAGTAAAGGGTCAGAGAAAAAGAGGAAGACCCTCAAGGAGATGGATTGACACAGTGACTGCAACAGTGGCTACATAACAAGGATCACGAGGATGGTGAAGGACCAGGCAGTGTTTCCTTCTGTTGTACACAGGGTCACTATGAGTCAGAACTGACTCGACAACACCTAACAACAACGACATCTCTGCTTCTGTGTCTTTGGAGAACCCTGACTAAGAAATTACCAAACCAAACCTATCACAGAAAAGATGTTTGTGTATCATTCACATTCCACTCAATTCACAATCTTTAATTCAGTATAAATCATCCTTAACTCCATTCTTCCCATCTATAATCTTCTATTTATCTTTTAAGCTTCAGTCTTTTCTAAAAATACTAAGGTCTATGTAACTGCCTTTGGTACTAACAATCAAAATGGGCTGACAATATATAAAAAGGTCCCTCCCTTTGTTGAAAGGCATTGTGTGTCCCCACCTAGAACATACTGTTTATTTCTGGGTAGTGTAATTCAAGAAAGACAGAACAGGACTAAAGGAAGCTTTGGTAATCAGAAGTAGGATGCTGCAAGGAATAGAACCTAGTATGTGCAATTGGCTAAGTGGAGGTGTAGCATGGGGTAGCTAGGGGTAGCGAAACCCCGGACTGTGTCAGAAGAGCAGCTGGAGATCCTTGTTATTCAATGGCAGAGCATTTGGTCTTACTCCCACTGCTGTATCGTGGGGTGCAGTCCTCATGCTGACCAAGGGTGAAGTGTTAAGGGAAATGGCAGGAAGCTGGGGTGGGTTGCTTCCTCTTGTGACTCATCCTGCAGCCTATGATCTACACTGATGGAGAACCCATAACTTGAGGCCTTGGGTTAGATCTTACACCATGGTTATTAAAGTACAGATTTGAAGGGAAGTCAACTAATGTTTGAGACAACTGTATTGCTAATGACCTCTCCAAAGCAATCCTCAATGTCCAAATTCATAGCCACAGAAAGCGGACAGTGAAAACCATCAATGTGATAAAGGAGATGGGTCAGATTTATATAGATTTTTCAATCTGAAACAACAAAGATTGTAAAGGTCCCGTTGACATTTGTAATTAAAGAAATTTGGATAGGGGAGTGTTATGTGTTGAATTCTGTCCCCAAAAAATGTGTGTCAACTTGGCTTGGCTATGATTCCCAGTACTGTATGGCTGTCCACCATTTTGTGATCTCATGTGATTATCCTACGTGTTCTAAATTCTAATCTCTATGGTGTTAATGAGGTAGGATTAGAGGCAGTTATATTAATGAGGCAGGACTAAATCTATAGGATTAGGTTGACCTTGAGTCAATCTCTTTTGAGACATAAAAGAAAGAAGTGAGCAAACAGGAAAAGAAAAGCCAGGAGCAGAGCTCATCCTTTGGACCCAGAGTCCCTGCACTGAAAAGCTGCTAGACCAGGGGAAGACTGATGACAAGGACTTTCCCTCAGAGCCAACAGAGAGACAAAGCCTTCCCCCAGAGCTGGCACCCTGAATTCAGACTTCTAGCCTCCTAAACTGTGAGAAAGTATATTTCTCTTTGTTAAATCCACTTGTGATATTTCTATTATAGCAGTACTAGATAACTAAGACAGGGAGGTGATTTCCTTACCAAATTCCAGTACACAATACATGATTGGCTGAAAATATGAAAAAGTTTGTTAAATCATGGATATTCCTAAATGACACATCTCTAAGTATTCAGAACTCACACCACATACCACTTGGTGTCACCATTAAAAACATAGCAGTAGACTAGACAGACTCTGGCTGTGACCAGGGTAACTCTCCTCCTCACAAAAAGACTAGACAAAAACCATAAGTGGAGATGGTGATGACATGCTTGGATGCCAGCATTCAGCCCTCTTTTGGAAGCTCTAGGTTGAAAATTTGAGTTTTCCTTATAGAAGCAAAGAAAAGACCTCAGAGCTAAGACACCCAGGTTCCCTGAGAAGGAAATCACTCCACAAACCCAGGAACATAGCGTCCACCATCATCACATTGGGACAATCAGCATTGTCCAATCATCTTACGTGACTCTCAACACATGGTACTTGAATACAGGGTCGTGGGAGGCAATTTTAGGTGGTACAGGTATGGTAACACCAAGTCAATAACCCCATCTCTACTCCTTCAGGTACACTAAGGAGACAGCCTCGGGTTTGGGCCAGAAAGACTTTAACACTGCTCCAACTCCTCCTCCTCTTCCTTTTCAATAAAGGAGACAAGCTTCAGGATCACAGCCTTCCATAGGCAACAGGACCCCAAATCTAATGACACTGGCTTTGCTTTCATCCTGTTTACCTTCAGGCTTACCTGGTATTTGTAGCAAAGGACACTGCTTCTCAAGTTATGGTAGTGATATAAAATTTCTTTCTAAAATAAATTTATTTTAAAAATGTGAATCAGTTGTTTTTTTCTTTAAAAAAAAAAATACGTAAGCACAGATGGCAAAAATCATTCAGGTGGACCAAGGTTTGGGAAGCACCTGAAGAATCCTTCATTCTCTGCTAATCTAACCTGTTTTATTTCTGGTCCTGGAGAACTGCCCTATACTTTTGATTGATCCAGAGGCAGAACTCGAGTTTCACAAGTAGTTACAGCATCAGTTTCTTTTTGAAAAGCACTCTGCAAGGGCTGTGACAAACAACTGATACTCAACACAACTTCCTCAGGTCAATCCACAAACGTTGTTACTACCTTTGTTCAGGTAAGGAAACTGCCAGCCTGGGACAACAAAAGACTTGACCCAGGTTACAGTGCAGCTGGCCTGGATCTTGGTACCTGATCTTCTCTCACTGCAGAACTCTTTATCCTACATCTCTCTGCCCAATCGTACTGGTTTTTGTTTTTATTTAAGAAAATTAAAACAAGATATGGAGATTATTAAAACTGACCTACAGAAGACCTAAGGTAGAACCCACATAGTTCCTTTGATGTTAATACTCATGAGCCTGCATTCTTTCACCTTGCACATGTCCACACACAGGTACGCATACACCACTGTAAAAGAAAGCAGGTACGAACTGTCATGATACGTGACAGGTGTAGTCAATGCCCCTCAGGGCTCCTGGCACTCCTCTGCTATCATAAGAGCTTTCTGGTGGACTCTGGGAGACAGCTGCAGGAGAAGAGCAGCACTGTAGGAGCTCAGCTTCTCTCAGAATGGTCTTAGGTTTAGAGAGGCTATATCTACACTTTCTGTCAGCTTCAGGAAAAGGGGAATGAGTCTCTACAGGAAAAATTCTTCCCTCATTTTGTTGTTGTTAGTGTCTTCGAACCAGCCCCAGCTCATGGCGAACCCACGCACAACAGGATCAGACCATTCCGATCCATAGGGTTGTCATTGGCTGATTTTTGGAAGTAGACTGCCAGGCCTTTCTTCCCAGTCTGTCTTAGTCCGGAAGCTCTACTGAAACTTGTTCAGCATCATAGCAACACGCAAGTCTTCACTGATAGATGGGTGGTGGCTGTGTCTGAGATGCACTGGCCTGGAACTAACCTGGCATCCACATGGAAAGTGAGAATTCTACTCTCTGCCCTCTTCCCTCATTATAAATACGCATATCATCTGCCCTGCCTCTTTTATCTCAGCTCCTACTACTCTCCCCTTTGTTCCTTATTCTCCAGCTGTCTCACCTTCTTTCTAGGCACTGAATACGCCAAACTTCTTCCCACTTCAAAGCCTTTGGTTTGCTCTTCCCTCTGCCTGGTACAGTTTTACTTCCATCAGATGTCTCCATAGCTGCCTCCTTCTCATCATCTCAGTCTCGGATCAAGTGTCACCTCCTCCAAACACCCTTCTCTGTTTACCCTTCCTAACGCTGCTGCCTCTTTCCCCATCACTGTCTCCCTTAATGCATTTGCTTTGTATGACTCATGGCTTTCTGAAATTGTTGTCTGTTCACTTGCCTATTGTCTGTGTCCCAAACTAGCCTGCAACCAGCATGAGAGCAAGGACCTGCTATCTCTACCTCAGTACTACTATCTCCACAGCCCAGCATGTAGTAGGCACCCAAGAAAAACTTGCTGAAGGAAAACATACACACACATATCTACACACACTATGATTACCATTCCATCAGAGAAACACAGACAACAGCAAAAAACTCCACTGTACCTGGTCCGGGAGGAATCCATGTCCAGCACCAACTTTGCTAAATGTTTCCTCTGTTTTTGAATATTTGGAATTTCTACCTGTGGTTATGGGAGATAAGAGTGAAAGATATCATCCAACTGAAGATCAAGATCAATTCTTAAAGAACGAATGACAGTCACCCGACATGTTTGCTAGATGTTTCCCAATCTTTATTTTCAGATTAAATTCTTGATTCCTTTTCCTCAAGTAACCTCTGCTCTCTCCTTGCTGACCATCTGCCAGGCCCTCCATCAACCCAGGCCAGCTCAGAGCGGGCAGCATAGAGGCCAACAGGGGAAGTGAATGAAGGGGACCTGCCGTCAGGTCTGATCCCCAGCCCTAATTCCAAAAGGAAAGCAGGAATGAAATTAGGATGAATTTTGATATAAATAAAGTACAATTTGTCTAAAGTAGATCATGAATAAACACTGTTGTGGCTTTTCTCAGCTATGAGAAGTTCCTCCATATTGGTTGTATGGAGATGCTTTATTTATATCTTTATTTCTAAAAATGACTTCAGTGAACATTCCAGTGCCGGATTTTGGTTTTAGGCTCAGCAAAAGTAGGGCAGGATGTGAGAATTAAAAAGAGAAATTGGCCATAAATTGAACTACTGAGTCATCTTAGGCTGGGGCTTTCATATAAGGAAACAATGTGAGGAAAATCCAGTGTTCTCTGCAGTACTTTCCATTCATTCTTCTGACCAGGGATGAGTAATGTACTGAGTGTCACAATGGTCATGAAGAAGAAAGGAAAGGGCAGTGGTCAGCTGGGCACCCTCAGTCACCATCTAGCTTCAAGGCAAAGCTGGAGAGGCCCATGGGTTTCTTGTACAAACATGCCAAGTGAGTCTCAGCACCCAGGTCAGACTTGCTCTTCGGGTTTGCTCAGGCTTTGGCCAGAGCCCCCAGGCCACCCTTATGAAGAGTAGAGGGCCTCTCGTGAATGTTCTAGGCTAGGGGATGATCTGCAATGTAATGGGCTCTGAGAAGTCTAGAGCTGGTCTATGTCAAAGCATCATATCTAGGATCTCCCCCCGAATGACAGGCGAGTGCATGTTGCTGTGATGCTGGAAGCTATGCCACTGGTACTTCAAATACCAGCAGGGTCACCCATGGTGGACAGGTTTCAGTGGAGCTTCCAGACTGAGAAAGACGAGGAAGAAGGACCTGGCAAGCTACTTCTGAAAAAACTGGCCAGTGAAAACCTTATGAATAGCAGCGGAACACTGTTGGAGACAGTGTCGGAAGATGAGCCCCTCAGATTGGAAGATAATCAAAATACAATGGGGAAGAGCTGCCTCCTCAAAGTAGAGTGGACCTTAATGATGTGGATGGAGTCAAACTTTTGGGACCTTCATTTGATGATGTGGCATGACTCAAAATGAGAAGAAACAGCTGCAAACATCCATTAGTAATCAGAACATGTAATGTATGAAGTATGAATCCAGGAAAATTGGAGGTGGTCAAAAATGAAATAGAGCACTTGAAGGTCAATATCCTAGGCATTAGTGAGCTGAAATGGACTGGTACTGGCCAACATGAATAGGACAATCATACAGTCTACTATGCCAGGAATGACAAATTGAAGAGGAATGGTGTCACATTCATTGTCAAAAAGAACATTTCAAGATCTATCCTGAAGTACAATGCTGTCAGTGTGCAGTGGGATGGATCGCTTTTATATGGCATTTCTTGCCATGGTCTTATAACTCCCACCGAAGTGACTGGGTGGGACTATGCAAATAAGCTAATTGTGGCCCACAAGGGATTGGTCAGTTTTGCCATCCAGCTGGGCTTAAAATGAGCCAACCCACAGGCAGGAGGAGAGGATCTCACCACCACCAAGAAGAGGAGCCAAGGGTGGAGTGCGAGTTTTGGACGCGAGATCCCTGTGCTGAGAAGCTCCTGAAACCAGGAGATGGAGAGAGAGAGATGTAACACCAAAGATGGTGAGAAGCAGCAGCAGAGAAATGGCAGCAGCAGAACTAGGAGACCAGCAAGAGACAACCCAGCCCAGGGAGTGAGAAAGCTGAGTGCCTTTGGGCTGAGGCTTACTAGTGGAGTGAGGTGCCTCAGGGCACTTATCACAGATCTAGAAGAGCTTTGTAACACTTGCTGGAGCAGGGCAGAGGCTGATGGGCCAGAGAGAGGCATGCCCGTGGCCACGACTGAGAAGAGGCTGTTCTGATCGAAGAACTGTACCCTCAGTGTTCCTGAGTCTGAACTGCAACCTGTTACTTCCCTAATAAACCCCATAATCGTGAGTATGTCTGTGAGTCCTGTGTGGCCATTGCAATGAATTGCCAAACTCGGCAAATAAGTAGAGAGTGCCATGGGATGGATGGTTTTTGTAAGAAATGGTAAAGATGGCAGAGAGAGGAGGCATATCTGACCTCAGCCTCATAGGAATCAGCCTTGGGCTGTCGAAGTTGATTCTCCTTCCCCCTTGTGAAGTTTATAGGAGGTCAGATGCCTCCGTCATGCCACTTTACACAGTGATAGCATAATATCCAAATGTCTACAAGGAAGACCAGTTAATACAACATTCATTCAGATTTACACATTGACCACTAATGCCAAAGATGAAGAAACTGAAGATTTTTACCAACTTCTGCAGTCTAAAATTGATCAAACATGCAACCAAGATGCGTTGATAATTACTAGAGTTTGGAATGCAAAAGTTGGAAACAAAGAAGGATTAGCAGTTGGAAAGTATGGCCTTGCTGGTAGAAATGACATTAGAGATCACATGATGGAATTCTGTAAGACCAACAACCTATTAACTGGAAATACCTCTTCTCAACAACATAATTGGCAACTATACACATGGACATCACCAGATGGAATAAATACATAGGAATAAAATCGACTACATCTGTGGAATGATATGATGGAGAAGCTCAATATCATCAGTTAGAACAAGGCCAGTGACTACCTGTGAAATAAACCATCAATTGTTCGTATGCAAGTTCAAGTTGAAGCTGAAGAAAATTAAAATAAGTCCACTGAAGTATATCCCACCTGAATTTTGAGACCATCTCAAGAATGGATTAGACACATTGGATGCTAATGACTGAAGACCAGACAAGTTGTGGGATGACATGAAGAAAAAAAAAGGTCACTAAAAAGACAGGAAAGAAAGAAAAGACCAAAATGGATGTCAGAAGAGACTGAAACTTGCTCTTGTACGTAAAGTAGCTAAAGCAACAGGAAGAAATGATGAAGTAAAAGAGCTGAACAGAAGATTTCAAAAGGCAGCTTGAGAAGACAAAGTGAAGTATTATAATGACATGTGCAAAGACCTGGTGTAAGAGAACCAAAAGGGAAGAACATGCTCAGAATTTCTCAAACTGAAAGAACTGAAGAAAAAAATTCAAGCCTACAGTAGCAATACTGAAGGATTCTATGAGCAAAATATTAAACAACGCAGAAAGCATCAGAAGAAGATGGAAGGAATACAAAGAGTCACTGTACCAAGAAGAACTGGTCAATGTTCAACCATTTCAGGAGGTAGCATATGATCAAAAACCAATGGTACTGAAGGAAGAAGTCTAAGCTGCAGTGAAGATTTGGCAAAAAACAAGCTCCAGCGATTGATGGAATACCAACTGAGATATTTTAACAAACAGATGCAACACTGGAAGCCTTCACCAGTGTATGCCAAGAAATTTAGAAGATAGCAACCTGGCCAACTGACTGAAGAGATCCATATACATGCCCATTCCAAAGAAAGGTGATCCAACAGAATATGGAAATTATCGAACAATATCACTCACACCACACACAAGTAAAATTTTACTGAAGAGAATTCAAAAATGGCTGCAGCTGTATATCGACAGGGAACTGCCATAAATTCAAGCCAGATTCATAAGAGGACGTGGAATGAGGGATATCAATGCTGACATCAGATGGACCTTGGTTAAAAGCAGAGAATACCAGAAAGATGTTTACTTGTGTTTTATTGACTATGCAAAGCATTTGACTGTGTGGATCATAACAAATTATGGATAACACTACAAAGAATAGGAATTCCAGAACACTTAATTGTGCTCATGCAGAACCTGTACATAGACCAGCAGGCAGTGGTTTGAACAGAACAGGGGGATACTGTGTGGTTTAAAATCAGGAAAGGTGTGCGTCAGGGTTTTATCTTTTCACCATATTTATTCAATCTGTATGCTGAGTAAGTAATCCGAAAAACTGAACTATATGAAGAATGGGGCATCAGGATTGGAGGAAGACTCCTCAACTACCAGTTACATGCAGATGACATAACCTTGCTTGCTGAAAGTGAAGAGGACTTGAAGCACTTACTGATCAAGATCAAAGACTACAGCCTTCAGTGTGGATTACACCTCAGCATAAAGAAAACAAAAATTCTCACAACTGTACCAATAAGCAACATCATGATAAATGGAGAAAAGATTGATGTTTTCAAGGATTTCATTTCACTTGGATCCACAATTAACCCCCATGGAAGCAGCAGTCAAGAAATCAGTCAATATACTGCAGTGGGCAAATTTGCCGCAAAAGACCTTTAAAGAAATGTTGAAAAGCAAAGATGTCACTTTGTGGACTAAAGGGAGCCTGACCCAAGCCATGATATTTTCAATTGCCTCATATGCATGTGAAAACTGGACAATGAATAAGGAAGACCAAAGCAGAATCGATGCTTTTGAATTATGGTTTTGGCAAATAATACTGAACATACTATGGACTGCCAGAAGAACAAACAAATCTGTCTTGGAGGAAGTACAACCAGAATGCTCCTTAGAGGCAAGGATGGCCGAGACTTTGTCTCACATACTTTGGACATGTTATCAGGAGGGACTAGTCCCTAGAGAAGGATATCATGCTTGGTAGAGGGCCGGCGAAAAAGAGGAAGACCCTCAACGAGATGGATTGACACAGTGGCTGCAACAATGGGCTCAAACACAGTATGATTGTGAGGATGGCGCATGACCAAGCAGTGTTTCGTTCTATTCTACATAGGGTCACTATGAGTTGGAACCAACTCGTCGGCACCTAACAACAACCAACCCTTTGAATACTTCTTACCAGTTACCAGTTGCCGTCAAATTGACTCTGACTCATGACAGTTCATGTGTGTCTGAGCAGAACTGTGCTCCATAAGGTTTTCAATGACTGAGTTTTCAGAAGCATATGGCCTGGCCTTTCTTCCAAGGTGCCTCTGGGTGAACTCGAACCTCTAACCTTTCGGTTAGCAACTGAGCACATTAATCATGTGCACCACCCAGGGACTTGAATATTTTTAGGCACGTGTAAATATTTATCTATACATCTGTCCCACAAACAGCACCAGTGGATGTGGAATTGCTGGAGCAGTGCAGAGAAGAAACCAGAGATGGTACAGGTCAATACTCTCTAATATGGTAGCCTCTAGTCACGTGTGGCTATGTAACTTTAAATCCAAAGTGATGAAAATTAAATAAAATTTAATTTAAAAATTTAGTTCCTCGGTCACACCAAGTACACTTTAATTGCTCGATACACACATGTGGCTATTGGCTACCCAACTGCGCAGATAAAGGACACTACCATCATCGACGTTCTACTGGGAAGTGCTGGTTAGATTTGACATGACCAATACAAGGTAACTGGAAGGGAGAGCCAGGGTGTAGGGCACACAGACCCCCCAAACATTTCCTTCTTCACTTCATAAAATTTCACTTCGTTAAGGCTCGCAAAATTGGCACATAGACATTAAGGCTTATTTTATTTAAAAAAAAAATTCTATTTTGTGTCCTTTAAAGTCCAAAAAGAATGGGGCTTTATAAGCATAAACCTTAAGTGGCCTTACAGAATCTACTGGATGCAGGAGACTGGGGACCTTTTCATTTCAGAAGACTGGAAACTGGTGGAGGGCTTGGCTGGTGATGACAGTCAAGACCCTAACCCACTTTTATAAATCAAATCTCTGCAATGTCAATAGAGAAGAAGAGTATGTGTGGGAGAAGGGGATGGCTGGCAGCTGAAAGGGCTACCACGTTTTGGAATCTTGACCAGGTGGTGAGATGATTCTCCACTCATTGTATGTGACTCCTAAAATGTGGGACTCGAACGATGGGGTTATGGGAGGCAATTTTAGGTGGTACAGGTACAGTAACACCAAGTCAATACCCCCTCATCAATCCGTCCTCTACTCCTCCAAGTACACTAAGGAGACAGCCTCGGGTCTGGGCCAGAATGACTTTAACACCTCTCCAACTCCTCCTCCTCTTCCTTCTTAATAAAGGAGACAAGCTTCAGGGTCACAGCCTTCCACAGACAACAGGATTCAAAATCTTATGACACTGGCTTTGCTTTCATCCTGTTTACCTTTATGCTTATCTGACATTTGTAGCAAAGGACACTGCTTCTCAATTTACAGTAGTGACATAAAATTCCTCTTTAAAATAAATGTATTTGAAAATGTGAACACATCAGTATTAATTGCTGATGAACAGCATCAGGGAGTAGCATGAGGGCTAGAACCAGTAATGGAGCTGCAAGTCAAGTAACTAACTCTCATGCTCACTGATGCCGATTTTTATTCCTGCTCATACCTCAGCCAGCAAAAACAGGGGCTCGATCACATCTCTCTCTACTTGCAGTTCAAAATGTATCAGCTCTTGAGCCAGCTTGTCCTCCGTCTCTCCACAGAGTTTTAGCATCTTCCTGCAATAGAAGGAAAAAAAAAAAAACTATACTAAATATCCTAGAATTCCACCTGCTTCATACTCCTGTCACCTCCTGGCTCAGTGTACTTTCCTGAGGCAGTACTAATATGGTGGTTGATTTCCAGGACATTCCACTGACCACCTTGCTCCACCTGTTTTCATCTCTGAGATTACTGATTTTTCATATGATGCTGAGTGCCTACTGTATGCCTGGAGTAAAAGGGCCCGTGTGGGAAAACAGAAGAGAAACGCGGGGAGAAGAAGCAGACTCACGTACACCTAATCCACAGGCCTCAAAGGAGCCAGACGCTTCTATCTCTCCTGAGAACACTGAAGGAACTAGCTAAAACAGATCCACTAACAGACTAGCCTCAAACACATACCAAAAACTCAGTTTTAGTAGGTTCTAGTAGAAAGAAAACCCTTTTATCTAAGCCATCAAAACTTACATAGTGCTGGGTGGGTAGACAATTATCCAATGGAAAAACCATTCCAAAATTAATAATGAGTGAATAACAGAAAACCTGAATGAGTAGAAAGTTATGCCATGTTCCTAGATGATGGGATACAATATTCAAAGGTCTTAATCTCCCCTTAAAAGGTATACAGCTAGTCCTGGCTTTTCACAATATCATGTTAAATGAAACTCATGTAAAAACGTTTTACAAATCACTAAAAGGTTAAGCAATGAGATCAGAAAAGTCTCTGTCACTTTTCTAATCTTTCTCTCAAGACACTGAACCATCTTTGATGTGAATGAGTTTCATATTCTTGAACTAGTCTCTTCCAGAATAATTAGTTATTATTCTGAAGTTAGTATGTACTTTTCCTGTCCAATATTTTTGCACTTTTACTACATATGCGTATGTTCACACGTAATATATAATACTGCTGCTTTGCCTCATAAAAAAAAGTTTACAGCAATGGTTTAACATTGAACATACCCTTCTACTACTTGCTCTTTTAATTCATATGTTTTGAGCTTATCCATCTTGATACATGCAGAATTATTTCATTTTTCTATATGAAATTACATTCTATGAATACACCACTATTTATTAAGCTCTTCTATAATCAACAAGTTTGTGTGTATGTGTGTGTGTGGTGAAAATATACAAGCCAATACCACAATTTCTACATTTATAATACAATGACATTGATTACATTCTTCATGTTGTGCAGCCATTATCGCTATCCTTTTCCAAAGTATTCCACCACCATTAACATAAAACTCAATGCCCCTCAAGCAAGAACTTTCCCTTGCCCCCTCCATCCTACCCCTGGTTACCATTAATGGTCTTTGGTTTCTACATATTTGCTCGTTTCACATAGGTGAGATCATACAGTCTACCCTTTTGCAACTGACTTATTTCACTCAACATGTTTTCAAGGTTCACCCATGCATCAAGACTTCATTTCTCTTCATTGCACAGTAGAATTCCACTGTATTTATGTACCACATTTTATTTATCCAGTCATCTGCTGATGGACATTTCAGCTGATTCCATCTTTTGGCTACTGTGAAAACTGTGGCCATGAACACTGGTATACAGGTTTCTGTTTGTGCTCCTGCTTTTATGTCTTCTAGGAATACACCTAGGATTGGGACTGAATCAATAGTGTTTTGCTATTACACGTAATGCTGCAGTAAATATGCTTGTGCAGTCTCTTTTTGCATGTGTAAGAGTTTCTCTGTGTGAAGAAGAGGACACACATGTTCTTACAATCCTGATGGACATGACCAATGGCTCTCCAAAGTGACTGGACCGACTGACCCTCTCAGCAGCGTGTAAGGGAGTTCCCGTTACTCTACACCCCTGCCAACCTTTGGAATCAGTAGGCTACGTAATTTGCAAAACTGGTGGATATAAATACTATCACACTCTGGCTTTAAGCTGCATATCCTTGACTACTGGCGAGACTGAGTATCTTTTCATGTGTTTTGGGCCATTCAGGATTTCTCTTCCATGAAGTTCCTATTCATATTCTTTGGCTATTTTATATGGGGATCCAGTTGTTTGAATTTGTGGGAGTTGTTTATATGCCTACACATAAATGTGTGAATGTATAATGGATACTAATTCTTTTCCATATTTGTTGCAAATATCAATTCTCAGGTGTGGTTTATCTTTGTAGCTTTTTAATAGTGTCTTTAATCTGATTCTTCTGGTACTTTTCTCCATATTTCTAATGCTCCTCTTACCTATTAATTTTAAGCTTTATCTACTGTCAACTATAGAAAATGAAAACAGAGCTACTGTTACATTTCCCCTTCTTCCATTTATTTCTATCAGTAGATATTCAGTATGTACACTATATTATGACTCTCTATGCTATTTAGAGTTTGCATAAGTACAGGGTCAGGGAAAAAGAGGAAGACCCTCAACGAAATGGACTGACAAAGTGGCTGTATCAATAGGCTTAAGCATAGCAACGACTGTGAGGATGGTGCAGGACTGGGCAGTGTTTTGTTCTGTTGTACATAGGGTTGCTATAAGTCGGAACTGACTCGACAGCACGTAACAATAACAACGCTATTCAGAGCTAAGCCAGGTAGTAACTGATTACTGTTCCTTCCTGCACATTTATTTTTCCCCCTGGAGTTAAAAATTGCCTTGTTGTGGTTTGCTTGTTTAGCTTTCTATGATGTACCCAAGTGAGCCAAAATTCCTTGTCATTTTTTTAATCTGTCTCTCAAGACATGGAACCATCCTTGATGTGAATGCATTTCATATTCTTGAATTACTCTCCCAGACCTGTGCCAATCTGGGTTCAGTTTACCTTTTGTCTCTCAGGCACAGCTCTCCTCCTGGAATCTTCCTTCACCATTTCCTGGGACTCTCTCAGCCTCTATCCTATGTTGGATCTCCTGTTTACTGTATCCTGTGTCTACATCTGTCTTGGTTACTTTCTCATTATGAAACACATCTTGCTTTAGTTTCCTGAGAAAGTTTGTGGGAAGTCAGATTTTTGAGATCTTGCATGTTGCAACACTCTCTTCTACCCTCACACTGACTGATAGTTAGGCAGGAATTGAATGCTACAATGGATATCATTTTCCTCCAGAATTTTGAAGGTATTGTTGGATAACCTTCTAGCTGCTGGTAAGTCTAGAAGTATTCTGATTTCTCATCCTTTGTATGTGACAAGTTTTTCACTAGAAAGCTGTAGAATCTTTTATTTGTCATTAGTATTCATGATACTGAGCTGTGGCATAGGTTTATTTTCTTCTATTGTATTGGGTGCTCAATGGGCCCTTTCAGTATAAACTCATGCATGTCCTTCAGTTCTGGAAAATTCTTCTGGATTTATTATTACTTCTTCCTCTACTTTTCTAATAACGTCTGCTATTCAAGCACAGGACTTCCTGAACTGGCTAATTTCCTCACTTTTCTATTTTCCATTTCTTTGTCTTTTTGCTCTCTTTTCTAGATGATTTCTTTATCTTCCAAATCTACTAAGATTTTCATATCTGCTATCATATTTTTTTCCTGTGGGCTTGTTTTAGTCTCTGAATGTTTCTTTTCTACAAATATTTCTATTTCTTATTAACATCATGTTCTTACTTCATGGATGTATTATCTTCTCTTATCTCTTGAAAACATAAGTGATCTTTTTTGAAATTCTCTCCTCCCCCGAACAATTTCTATTTCTCTCAAAGTTGAATAGTTCCAGATTGTTTTGGTCTCTGTTTCATTTTAGAGCATTTCCTCAGTTGTCTGGTGATCTTTTGTGCGTGTCTATATTTAAGAGCAAAGATTAAAGAGCTCTGTGTTTGTGAGTGAAGCTTGTCGACTATGAGTTTCTTTGTAGGATGATTTGCCTAGGCTGTTCACTAGAGAACTGCCCTCACTCCAAAGTCCTTGGATTTTCAGGTCATTCTTCTCGAGCAGGTCAGATTCCCAGGGAAAGCTCTTCCAATTTCCTGCCTAGAGGGTAAAGACTCGGGTTGCATGAGTGGGGGAAGAGGGCTGAGGAGTCTCAGCATCATATATTAATTGGCTTCATCCTCTGCTTTACTGAATGGTATTCTTGCACTCTACTGTAACTGGTGTCCCCCAGTCTAGAGATACTGTTTTACCCCTCCAGAGAATAAGTCTCCAGACTTCTGCTGCAGTAGTGGGTGGGAGAGTAAGAGTTTCCCAGAGATGTGGCATGGGGAGGGGTCTTGGTGATCTAAGTGCTACTCCAATAGCTTTCAACCATTATTCATTATTTTAATCAACCACCCCACTCCCAAAGACCTACTATTCCACAGATACCTGGTGCCACCAACTCCTGAGCCTTGTAATCATGTCATGGTGTAAATTATGTTGCATCTCAGCATATCCTACTTCAGGTTTGTGATTCGACTTTCTAGGATTTGCTAAATCAGTTACCAGGCACTCATATGCTTTATAGCTCACAAAATGTTGCTGCTGTTGTCTTTTCTCCTGTTTTTTCCAGTCTTGTGGGCTTGTGTTTCCAAAAAAAAAAAAAATCCCTTTATTATAGTTTTAGTGGATTGTGGAATGGAACAAAATTAGACGTGTATGTTCAATCTATCATCTCTATCTGGAAGTCCTCCATCCTTGTACTCTCAACCTTGCTGGGTCATTATGCTTTAGATATCTCTTGGAAATAGCATACAGTTAGATTTCATTTTTATCTACCTGAAGTATTCTATATTTTAAACAGCTCAGTTCATTACATTTACATTTCGTATGATTACAGATTATATATGCAGAAATTGCCATTACCTTCATTTTCTGTTTTCTATCATGTTTTTTCTTTGTTTACTATCTTCTCTTGTATCCTTTTGTCTTAAGTTTTCTAGTGCTGCTATACAACAGAAATACCACAACTGGATGGCTTTAACAAACAAATTTATTTTCTCACAGTTTAGGGGGCTAGAAGTCCCCATTCATAGTGTTGGCTCACGGCGAAGGCTTTCTATTGGCTCTGGATGAAGGTCCGTGTCGATCAGGACAACCTCTTCTCAGCCATGTCCACAAGCAG